TAGGGAAACGTATTTGTCAGTTCTTTAGAAAGGATATGATAAAGGATACAGGTGATCAGCCAGGTGAAGAGGTGCTTAGGGTGAGCTCCTGTAGGTCCCAAGCACAGGAGCTTCTGTCCCCATGGAATTGGAGTATACTCTCCTCCTGGCATGTGTGTGTATTCACCACCCTGGTAATTCTCTGAACCTCATTATTTGGGGTTTGTTTATGGAGGTTCCATTACACAGACATGTTGATTAAATCACTTGCCACTATCAACTGAACTCAAGTGCTAGCTCCTCTTCCTTTGAGAGTGAACTTGAAAGTTCCAGCCCTCTAATCAGAGGTTGGTCCTTAGGCAGCCAGTCCCCATCCTGAAGCTATCTAGGGGCTCTTGGTCACTAGTGATCTCATTAATATACAAAAAAGACTCTGGCACTCCACAGGATTCCAGAGGTTTTAGATGGTCTTCTGTTATGGACCAAAACCAAATATAAGAAAAGCTGCTCCTAATAAATTTAAATTAAACAAAAAAAAAAAAAGAAAGAAAGAAAGAAAGAAAAGCTGCTCCTATCATCACTATCTCTGGGAAAGTTACTGGGTTTAGTAGCTCTCTATTCCAGGAGGTGGGCAGCAGAGACCAAATGCAGTCAAGTGTCTGTTCGTAGGGATATGATCTGAGAAATGTATGAGATGAACTGAGCATTGTGTAAACCTCACAGAGTGTACTTTCACAAACCTAGAAGGTATAGCCTACTACACTATTGCACACCTAGGTATATAGTATAGCTTGTGCTCCACCATCATATATGTGGTCTGTGGGTGACTGAATCTGTGGTATATGACTATGTTATTATTTTTATTTTCATTTAAAAATATTTTCTGGTATGGCTCTGTGTTCTAGTGGTTAAGGGAGGCAGATCCTACATGGCCGATTTTGTCCCAGACCTGGCAGCTTGAAAAACACACTGGGCAAGTGTGCATGCATGCCCAACATCTCCAGAGGATGGCGAACAGGAAGAGAAGGAATTGTGGCATGATCATGCCCCAGTGGGGTTACTTTATCCTTCTCCCCCTTTCTCTCTGTCTCTCTGGAGACCACATGCACCCTGTGGCAGACTAAAAACAGAAGTTTCTTACTATGTCACAACATACTTGTTCATTTTGTTCTCACTAGCAACCTAAGAGTTATCTGGTATTATTTGAAGTAAAGATAAGTAGTTGCCCCTAGATTATGTAGCTAGTAAGGAAGGTGGTGTGAATCTCAGATTTTGATGTGTCTGATTAACTGTCGCTGCATGCTCTTAGTCGTGGTTTAATTCTGCTCTCAGTATTCAGATTAGGTTCTCATAAGGTGAATAAATTAGCAAAAGCTATTCCTGGTGTACATCTTTTTTTTTTTTTTTTTAAAGAGAGATTTTTGCCATAGGGTATGTACACTCCCTGAGAGACAGAAAGTGAGAACTCACCATCTCCAGGGGTGGCCACACCACAATCCCTTCTCTTCAATTCTTGTCTTGGGATTTTTTGGGCACACAAGCACACACACCCAGCGTGAATTTTAAGCCTCTGGGTCTGGGACTCAAACCACGGTCAGCCATGTGGGAGTCCAGCACCTTAACTATTACGCCGCCTACAGGCCCCCTGGTGTACATCTTATTGGCCCTTTCCTGACTAACTATAGCTCTTTTTAGTTTTCTAAAGAGTGTGACATAAATTACTGTAAGTGAAATAATTGCAGAGATTATTACAGAAAATAAACCTGAGCAGGTATTATTTACCTCCATAGGTGTGGGGAAAAAATGAAAGATAGTCACCAAAGTGGCAGTCCTCGTTAAGACTGTCTACTAGATTCAGAAAATGACAGGAACCCTCTATACTTGTGGGCATTGCCTAAACTCAAATAGTACTATTAATTGTTTTCAAATTACCATCTCCATATTTTTTTTGTTTTGCTTCTCATTCATTGACTTATTTTTGATTTTTATGTTTATTTATTTGTTTATCACCAGAGGGCACATGCTCTTGCCAGAGAGAGAGAGAAAGAGAGAAAGCACCTCTCATTGGGTTGTGGTTACATTGCATTTTTTTTTTTTCCTTCATTTCTCTGTCCTGTCATGATTTTGGACATGTATGCAGATATATCTGGCATGTTTTCAAGCTGCTGGGGCCAAAATTTGAAATACAGTTGGCTATGTAAGATCTGGCTCCCTATGTGCAGGGCTAACCGCTAAGTCATGGGACCAGCCCATTGACGTATTATTACTAACCTAAAACACCATGAACCAGAAATGTTTGGTTTAGTGAGTGGGAATAGGTAGAATAACATGATC